TGACGATAGGAAAGACACCTCCTTAGAGAGTTTTACACCAAGAAACCTTATCATTGAAATCCTAGGACCTTGAAGTCACTAAGACTCTGAAGATTTTGTCATACACAGTATAACTTAAATCTAATTTAAAATGAAAGATTGAATTGGCCACCATTTTTTTCAAAGAGGAACCTTGCAACTCGTAGAGATAGTGAAATGGAAAATTGGAAAGCGTGCCTTGTGCATTCCTGTGCGTGCTCAGCGTATCGATCAGCTGCCAGGTCTGTGCTGGAAGAACACATTCCGGGGGAGGCAGAGCAAAAAGGGAGTGGTGCTTTGAAAAAAAATCTGCTAAAAGGTTCCTTGGCTACCATTCCCTCCCCGGTTTGATTCTAAAGGTTTTTAATGCTTGGCTAAGTAAATATGCTGTTCCTCAAGAAGAAAGGGATAAAAAGTATATTTTGCAGTTTTGCATGATGAGTAACAAAGTCTTTTGAATGATGCATAAACAGTTTTCTGGTTCTGCCAGAGCCCTCTGCCAATTAATCAGAGTGCAACTGATGAGTCATGAGACACCTTCTGTGAAACGTTCAAAAATTTGGACCCTGCTCTTGAAAGCCAAAGGACCCCCCGCTGTTACTAAACCTGTGGTTGCCGATCAGTTGAGGTTCTGAGAGATATATTTGCAATCCAGTACTTTCTGGTGAATTTTAGTTTTCATCTGGGGTAAATTCATGTTACCATTTATACTCTCAAATGAGATCGTTACAGCCCTCACCTTTATACTAATTATATAGTGAGGTTGCCTCTTGACAGCTTTGTGCAAAAAATGACTTTCTGCTTTCTCATGAGGTGGCCTGAGGTGAACGACACTTCTTCTAAACTAATCTAAAGATGCTTGGTCTTTCCTTAATGTTTCTTTTTTGAAACAGCAGACTGGAAGATCTTTTTCTTTAAGTAGAGTTTAGATTCTGGGTCACAAGAAACGACAATTTGATTCAAGCAGTGGCTTGCAGAACTGCTACAGGCAGCCTAATGCAACCTGAAGTACAATATATAAAATGGCTGCGTTCTACAGTATCGTCATCTGACTCACTGCTGGTAAACTGCAGACTGTAGTTGAAAGTCGGAGATATTTTCTGAGAGCAAGGTAGAAGTGAAATGTGGTGTTTGGCTTTATATTCAAAAGCTTCTCTGTTATATGGAAGAACATAACTGTTGTACTGAACCTGCAGCCATGCTTCAGACCAACACCACAAAGGTTTTTCATATTTTGTGTCTTTATCCTCTGCTGTACCTGAAACTGTGCTTTAAAAGCAGCTGTTTTGATAAAGAAAAATGCATTAGAATATTGAAAAATATACTCTATCCAACAATTCCTAAGATTTTATAGTTACATCATAAACAAAGATACTTTCATCAGTACAAGGAAAGAGGAACCATTTAGGAGCATCAGTTGTGTATTTGCTGTAAATATGAAAAAGGCTATAGTGAAGTTGTTTCTGTCAGTGGGTTTTTCAAACCTGACAGTGGGGACCGTGATAGCAGCACCTTATCCTGTGATGGACCCTGCTACTCCTCAAAATGAGGGCTGGGAGAAGAGCTGCCCTGTCCCCAGCCGGTAGGGTCAGCATAGAGCAATTTCTGTGGCCACTGAGGTTTTGGACAAACCACTAGACTTGGACTGTATAACTTAACCAGCTTGCAGACTTACAAAGCTCTGACCTAGATGCAATCTGCTAAAGCACTGTAGTCGTGGTGACCCTTCTCCTAGTGATATATCATTTGTCATCCACTGCTTCTGCTTTTATCAATTATGAGATTTTATTTTGGGGGGTTGATGTTGTTTAACTGTATAGCAAAAAAAAATTAAATCTCAGTCCTCGAATCAAGAGGGCAGATATTTAAAACCTACTAATAAAACATGCCCTAGAGCTGTAACCTTGAAATGGAGACAGTGCCAGTGAACTGTTTTCCTTCTAAGTGTTCTAAACAGTTACCATATCATTAACAGTATGGCATACATCGCTACGATTTTTGGTGGGAATGTTCCTAAACGCTATTATTCAGATAAAAGCTTTGAGCCCTCAGCAATACAGTATGAGGTATTGCATTCAGTAAGCAGTACTAGTAATTGCTGATAAAACAAAATGTATTCTTTGGCCGGCTTCTCACATTTCCTCAAGGATGCTTTCCCCCCGGATGCCCGTACGCAGAGTTCTAGCTTGTTGTCAGCAGGAGCTCTGTGTGCCTGGACTATGATCCCTGCAGTTATATATTTGTGTAAAAAGCATGGCTGCCATATACCGGTTTTTGAGATCCGTAACTCGTGTTTTTACCAGCCCAACACCAGTGTGGTTATTTTCCAAATGCTCTAAAAACTATGCAGTACTAGATGTCTGTGGTTAGATTGTATATTTTTAAATTCTGCTTGTTATGATCCACCTTCAGTAGCAATTGACTTTTTCAACCCTCTGTGTCCTTCCACAAACACAGGATACAACTAGAACGTTGTTTTGTGTTGTTTGAATATGAATCCTCTAAGAGACATCTAACATTGTTTTAGGACTTGCTGGCGTCCCTGTGTCTCCAGGGTCATTACATATCTTCTTTAATATTACGTTTCATGACTTTTCTTACTCTAAGCAAGTGTAAGTTTGATTAGCCCCTTTTAGTTATCTCTTCTTCCAACTACAGGCTTGCTCCCATATGCTCTAGCTGTGTGTTAATATAGTTTAAAGGTCTTCATTCCCCCTCTTGGTTAATTTTGGAGATACAAATTAGAACCTTAGGACAGACCTTGGCATTTGTTTTTGCTTCTTTCCATGTAGTGCCTACGCTTTGCTGATATGTTTTCAAAAGGATTTAGACCCTTTGAATCCTTATATATAAGGTAGAAATGACATAGTTTATAATGGATTGAAATTCGGATCATTTAGCAGCTAGCAACAGGTCAGCACACAATACTATGCTATGGGAGAACACGCAGAGTTTAGCAGTGCATGCTAAACCTGTGACGCAGATGATGAGGGGGAAAGACCTTTTTGCCAACTTTGTCTTTGATTCCTGACTGAAACTATGTAGCTGTCTTGAATTCCTAAGGAATAAAAAAGTGGGTTTTTTTTCTTGGAAATTTCTCACAAGTTAAAGAAGCCACCAATAGGAGTGACATGAGCTATATAGCCGCGTACTGAGATATGTAGTGAAACCTCACTTGGAAGAGTATTGGGATTTTTCATTTGTTAATTTGTGTCATAAGATCCCGAGTTCTGACAGACTGCTTAAAAATACTGTATATGTGCAACTGGCACTTTGTGAAATGTATCCATAGGAAGTGTTTTAATTGCCCACAAAATATGGGTGATTGATAGGAATCAGATCCGTCACTGAGCTTGCCCTGTCCTGCACTCGACACGCTGCTGATTCTCTCTTGGCATCCCACGTATTTACTCAGGGAACAAGTGAGAGTTAGCCACAGTTAGCCACAGTTAGCTGAGAGTTAGCCACAGTTCAGATTTGGATTGAAACTCATAAATGTTCCATTCCACAGAAATCTTTAATAAAAGGCAAAAGATGTACCTGATCTGAAGACTCCTGTGCAGTCTGTGCGTCTGCAACAGCATCATTTGACATGAGAGCGCTAACCATGTTAATGGGGAGAGAGAGAGAGTTTGAGCCAGGAGCCTTTCTTCCTCCCCCAAATAAATCTTTTCTCTATAAAATCCATGACACCAGCACCCTATTCTGGCAAAACTGTCCCCTTCTTCTTTGCACCAAGGATTGATTATAGATGTGTTCATGAATACTAGATGTCCTGTGATCAAAATACGATTAAACAATGACTTTTTTGAAATGTTCTGTAGTCTCAAAGGAGCTTTCTTCTTATTTCAATTTTGTTGTACTGCAGCCAACCCTCTAAATCACCTCAATTCTTAGTCATCAGCCCCTCCCTTAGAAGAACTCTCCAAACTTGATCAAGTCCAAACTTGGACCAGCAGCAATGTGAACACTGAGGCCTCAGAATGTCCTCATTGTGTAATCTCTGGGTACAACACACGAAATAGTCATAGTCTTTACTCAGACACTTTGCCATAGGGTGTGATGCATTATACAAGGAACTGGCACATCAGTTTCACTGACAGTCCATGCAAGAAAAGACTTGATGACTAATAGTAAAGATGCTAAACTAGCATCCTTCAGAGGTTGTTAGACATCTACTTTTTCTGCCTACATATACTGAAAAGTTGATTTGAGAGAAAGACTGTGAAACGCTAAAGAAATGATACTTGAAATGTTTTTCCCAGTGGAATTACGTTGCCTAGTATTATAAATTCTAGTCTTCATAACCCAACTAAATTAAGCCATCCACAGAAAAATAAATAAATCCCTGTGTAAAACAGGACTCTTACCCGTGATAGAAAAATATTTGTAAATTCTTAATTTTCTTGCATTGTTATCTGGAGGTGAATTTAGGTTTCGTATAAAAGAACTTCCATGCCCGCCCATATTTCATATTAATTTCATTCATAGGAAGTGATGTTAAAATTTCCTTCACACTGAAAATGGGAAAAAAACTCATGTCAAAGCATTCTCATCGATTTGGTCAGCAGCTGCAGCCTGTGAGGGGTCCTTGGAATTATTTCATATGAGGGATAGACTTATCTATGATGATGAATATTTAGTTGCTCTGGAGATATTAGTAAGCCAAAGTTTTAACAAAACATTCAGGACAAACCTACTAATATGCATAGTAAGCATGAAAACAGTTGTATCTAGTTGTACTAGAGTATTTAGACTAATTTATTTATACCTTCATTTTAGTACTCAACTTTCAGGTAGAATCGCTGCATCCCTTCAGGATCACAGGAACCTTTGCTCTTATGTTTTGTGTACATTTGGCTATTTTTCTTGAAGTAATCTGAAAGAATAAAGCTGATATCAAACGGGATGTACTGAATATATCAATTAATGAAGCAAGACATATTTTTTATCATATCAAACATATTTTTCTTTTGTTGCAGTGTTCATTTTTGCCTAAATTCTCCATTCATATAGAAACAAAATATGAGGACAACAAAGGAAGCAATGACAGTGTAAGTATGATGGTTTTGGCAAAACTGAATTTCATCCTTTTAGTTAATCATGAACTATATTTGGGGGTTGTAGGGCTTTCACTCTGGGGAACAGCCTCCTCAGGTTTTTATTTTTGCACCTATCAGGTATCCTGTTCATTGGAAGGTTGTTAGCTTGCAAAGTGGTTACCTAAAGCACTATGAGATGAAAGATTCATGTTCACAACTTCTCTCCTACATCACAAAATCTATTTGTTACTTCTCTAAACACAACATAATTCATATATGTCAGCTAGTACTGATGGAGGTTTATGGAAAATGAAGAAGATACTGTTGGGTTTTTTTTTGTAATTGTATTCCATTTTATCTGTTTCATATTATTGTCTTTGAGTAAAGGGAGTTGAATTCAAAGGAGTTGTTAGGAAGTGCAATCAGGAAACTAAACAATGGTCAGTAAACAACTTCAAGGGAACAATGGCTGGACTATGGAGATGATGCTTTTGGCAACCACTCACCAGAGGTTACAAAGTTCTTCCTAGGGTGAGAGCCTAGAGCTGAAAAGGATCATTAACTATGCAAAATTCTCTCTGGAGAAAGGGTGCGAGTGAGTAGCCAGCTGCTGCTGGACGGAAATGCTGATCGAGAGATACTGGGGAATGGAAGGTACAAGGTCAGGCAGATTTCTGTTGCCCTGACAGGGAGCACAGCAGAATCATCCAACTAGCAAGAAAAGAATGCCATGAAATATAACCAGACAAATAAAGATCCAGCCCTTGGATGAATAAACAAATATGTTTCTGTATGTTTCATTTCGGGATGCTTTACACAGCCATTTGTTGCAGACTCATGGGAAGAAGTTTCTTACAGGTGTGAAATGTTTGGAACACTGATCTGTAACACAGAGACCTAGTGCAGGAATGTGTAAACTCATTCTAGAGGGAGGAGAAGGCAGTAAAGCAGATTTTAAGGGGCTCCGAGACAAAGCCTTGCAGTTTCCAGGGATGTCCCTCTAGCATCCTTATTAAGGTTAAAGTTGTCCTAGATGAGAGATACATTTCCCTAACTGACTGCATGTTAATAAGGCTGACAGCTGTTGCATTGCTTATGGCAAAAATTAAGTACATGAAAAAGAACAAGGTATAATTCTGATTAATGTTTTTGGCATGCAGACACTTTTCTAGTAGGAACTAGACAGAGATCATATATTAGCCACCAAACACCACCAACTTTCAGTTCCTGCTAGTCTAAGCCATGTTCAGATCAATAAGTGAGAGGGAGATAAAGAGTGTGTTATGTTACCAACTGTATGAGCCCCCTGCTTTATGTAATTTATGCAGTTTGCAATGTGCACTTCTGCTTTTTGGCAGTACTTTAATTCAGAGCAAGCCCACACCTTTGGTTTCAGGAGGGTGCAGACTACTGTTCTGGTACATTTATAATGTCAGCAGTGAGAAGACATGTTCTGTACTGATGCTTGACAGAGGGAAAGCTGAACCTACTTAACCAAGCAGTGAATTTTCATTTTCTTTTCTATGTATCAGCTTTGTGGCTAAAATATTACGAATCGAGCCTGGAATATTACCAAAGCAGTGAATTTAAGATAAATTACACAGGGGTATAATACTCAGATGGTAAATCAAGGCATCTACTCTGCTTAAATCAAGCTCTTCAAAATGTAATTTTTATCAGAGCCCCAGCAAGGTAATGCTATAGTGTCTTTACATCGATAAAGGATACAGATTACAGGATACAAGATCACAACAGATTAGGCAAATATTTGCCAAGATTATTAATGCATTTAATCCATCCTGCCTTGCAGTAAGGAGGAGAAAGAGGGAGTGAATTATAGGTCTCCATTCCAGCCCTAATTGCCATGATTTTATAATTCTTAGAGTTATGTTATTCACCAGTGTGAACACAGCAAACCAATGGAAGATCTCCATTTTTTGCTACTGATCCTGCAACACTGATCTGCTGAGGCAGGTGTGGCTCGTACTGACTGAGATGCTGCAAGCTTAATAGATACGGAGAGACCTGTTTGAAAGTCCACTGGAGCCTGTGGGGGGACTTCTGTTAAACCAAACACCTCAAAACTAGGACTAAGATTGGATCTGGTGTCTGTTGCTGAATGGGTAGGCTTAAACCTCACTTGAAAATGCAAAGTATATTTTTCCTTTGCTTCAGCCAAGTTTAGTTTAAATTGCACTGTTTTCCCAGTTAGAAAAAAACAACAGAGAAACGTAGCATCCATTTCTATAGATTTCCATGGATATACTGTATCATTGCAACTGTCAACCTTGGCTGATGCAGAAATAATTAATCTAAAAAATAGTTTTCTAAATTTTGCCGTTGTAATGCAAAATAAATTGAATGATCGTTATTACTACAGAAGTAAGGATAATCATGTCTGATTTTAACTAAGCTATTTCTAGATTTTCCTAGAGACTGTACAGACATTTTAAATAATTCTTTGAACTCTGATCTATTCTCCAGTTCCATGTTATCTAATAAAGGAGATATTGATTGCAAAAAGCAATAATTAGATAGAAGGATATTAAGCTAATTACATTGATTAGTGGAAGAAAGCAATATGAATGCTTTCAGGTTCCTGTTGTCATTTAGCAGGCTAGTATATAATAATTATTATTACATTTAATATGTTGCATTGTCTGGTAAGATTCTGCCTAATTGTCACAATGTATCTTGATGATGCAAACATCTTCCTGATTTTTCTTCTCAATTGTCTTGATAGTAGAAACTAGTGAAAGATAGTGATATCTGCTTTGAGACTTCATTTTTCTAAGTCTTAGACTTTGGTATCATTTCAACCTATGCAAAATGTGCTTAAAACAGCATTGTTCTGTCTGTTAGAGTTTGCACTTGATTTGCACAAATATAAATATTGCCAAAAAGTGCAAGGACAACAAAAAGGAAAACCCTTCATTTAGATAAAACACTAATGAAGCTTGTATAGATGGTAGTAGTGCAGTACTATAAATCCATCCACTTGTGATTTCTAGTGCTACAGCACAGCTGATGTATCTAGCTGTTCACATGGCAACTCTCCCCTTAGAAAAACAAAATGGGTATTAGATTAACATGTTAGTACATCAAATATTGTCACTGCTACATTGCAGCTTTGCAGACCCATTAACTGTGTGTGAAACTAGACCAATGAGTCAGGCCATTCAGTATTTTGCCTTAAAGGTCTTTTAAAAAGTAAACTTTTTATTTTAAATTCAAAAATAGTATTTCTAAAAACTAGAACGACTGGTAAAATATAAATGGCATTGTAGGTGGCATCTGTACTCTGCTGTATCTGTACTGACAGAGTGTTCAAGAATATTTGAGAGCGTTTGAGAGAATTGCTTCCCTCTTGGATCTTTTACTTAAATGCAACATGTGCTGCTTTAGCTGCATACATAAGGCAGAGTTCCAGCAGGAGCTGCTGGGAGGAGGAGAGTACAGGTGCCTACAGCAAAGACACCCTCTGGGAACACTGGGAAGCTATTCAAGTGTGTGTTAATCACTCTGTGCACACTTTCCTGCCCATAAGAAAAATAAGCAGTTAGGGGATTCAGATATGGATACATGAATTCTCTCTTTTGAGAGAATTAAAATTATTAGTAACATAAGTTAAATAGTAGAGAATTGTTTACTTTCATTAAATTATTAGTAACATAAGTTACATAGTAGAGAATTGTTAAGCTTATCTAATAAATTAAATGGTTAGAAGTCTCAGGCAGTATGGTTTTCATGAATAGACTTTATTAACCTCTTTTTTACTTGGGCAGATATTATTTTATCAGTTTATCTGTTGATTACAAAACATCCACCACATGGCTGCAGTTAGTGATGTGATCAATGCAAGATGATCGCAGGCACTGTAGATTTTTGTATTCCAGATGTCATCTTGACTCTCGGAGGTGGTTGCTCCCAGGGCATTGCAATGACATTACTACTGACAGCCGTATGAAAAAAGCATTTCTGATGCTGACTGTTAACTATTATATGAAAGATATTTTTGTATGTAATTTATAAACTGAGAGTAAGCTTGCATTTAAGAAATGATGTCCCCTAAAAAGGAAATAACCCGCGTTCATTCAAACCCAATTGTCTTTTCCTTAAATGTCCCTTAATGTAGGATTATAGAAAAAAGAAAACATTAGTTCTATTTTTAGGCTGTAGTCTTATAAGCTTTGACTTTTATGATTCTTTTTTTTTTTAAGCTCTCTACAGCTGTCTACAATGTCTGTGATTTATCTTAATAAGAAGTAGATTCTTATAAAGTCTCTAAAAATATCTTCCTGATGATCCTCTCATTTACACTTCAGAAGTGCCCGAGACAGAGAGCTGTTGCAATGACGATAATATACCTGGGTCATGAACTGTAAAATAGATGTAAATACTAACTGTTGTGACTAGATTTATGAGCCTTTGACTGTACACAGTTAATTTTCTTCAAGCTTTATCTAAGATTTTTTTTGCGTAATTTACACCAAAGGCAAATCATTGTAGTATTTCAGTGCCTTAGAAAAGAATAAAATTTAGTACGATTCTCTTTAAATACAAATATGTTGTTTTCTCCCTTTCTCCTATGTTCCAGAAAAATAAGTAGCTGAGAGCTACATATATTGCCTTTGGTAACGCCGAAGGATTGGCCAATTACAATCCTAGCGTAGTTCCTGAGAGACTGCTCTTTCTGTTTGACCTTGGCGCAGTTGCCAAGGATGTGTTTCTCCCGGACTATAAATCCAGGGTGAAGGTATCTCATACCGAATCACAAGTGTGTGGCCCATGAAGCAAACTGGTTGCTAATACAGACTCGCTCCTCCCATTGATACTGCTCAAAGTTTTGTAGGGTTAAATTTGCTCTAACAGACTGTACACTGAGCTGGGTATCGTCTGGCCTCCTGCAGCCTGCACAGCGCCCAGAGCTGGAGTCAATGCGGTGTGGTGCACTGTGGCTAACTGAACAGAAGCGTGGTCATAGGCTCGTGGCTCACCTGCAACACAAGAGC